GGACAGCCTTTGGAAATCCCTGCTGGAGCCAGCAGCAGCCCCTCAGTTCAAAGCTCCTTTCTTTAGGCCTTGAATTCTCGGCCATAAAGTCTCTGAAGAGGTTTCGATAACTGGCCTATCTTTTAGATAAGCAAAGCTTTGGATGAATCCCACACAGCCCTCTATCTACCACAAGCCCTCATTTGTTTTCCGCCAAGGCACTTGCTGGTTTTCCTCTCCAAGGTGTTGGACAGAAATGTCAAGAGGCTGAAGGGACAGGACACTTTTTCTCTTTTTTTACCAAGTGCTATGGGGCAAAACAGTTGAAGGAAAACCTGAGTGATAATTGAGTGAGGCAGGTTTTTCTCATGGGAGCTGTAGGTTTATCCCTTATACAACAAAAAGGAAAGGCAGACAGGAAAGACAGATGAAAGTTCACTCTTAAAAATGGTTGAAGTTGAGGGAATTTTAAAAAAGCAAATTCAGTGTCTTTAAATCTACAGGGACCAGACTGCAGGACCTTCAACCAGGCAAATCTGCGATCCCAGTCTGGAACAAAGTACGTAAGCAGAGCCTAAAGAAAGAATTTCTGATTTCTGCGAGGCCTTTCTAGACAGTCTGCTCTAGGGAAAACTTATAAAAGGGAAAGGGAAGAAAAGAAGTGGAGGAGACAGTTACTGGAGAGAAGATTTCCTGAAATGAATCAGAGGAAGCAGCCAGAGCCTCTCCCAGCAATGCTGCACACCCCACAAGCTCCTCACCGGCAGCCAAGAGCCCAGAGACAGCCAGTTATGCCCAGGTTATTTATTTCCCTCACTCTGGCAGTGTCACGTATGTAATGTTTTAGAAAATAGTGTCTTCTTTTATCTGCAGCAGGATACAAAGCAAGAACAGCTTCCTAGAGCAGCCAGGCAGAAGGGAGCTGGCAACCTGTGCTGGGTCAGGAGGGGAGGAAGATTAAAAGGAGATGGGATTTTGCTTTGTCCTTCACGGAAGACTTTATCCCCTCCAGATACACAACAGAAGCTTTCTCTCCCTTGGAGGTTGGCCGGCAATGGCCTTCCTGTCTCTCAAAGCTGCTCCTGGGTCACAAACAGGGCAAGCTGTGAGCAGCATGGTCCCGTCCCCTGCCCCAGCAACAGATCTGCCATCAGCTCCCCACACTGCCTGCCCATGTCCCTGCTTCCTTGGGTGGCACTCGTCCCTGTGCCAGCCCTGGCTTCTCGCCCACTGCAGGGTGACGCTCATCAATTAGCGCACAACAAATAATTAAGCTGATGAATGTCTCTTTTTTCCTGCTTTCTGACTGCACTTGCCTCGAATTTATGCCCAGATTATGACTGAATTTATTCGTTGCCACTTGCAGCATTCAAAAGAGGCCGTTAATGATTTCTTTTAAGCTCTCCAGCCTGATTGTGAACAGTGCAGGGCAAATACTCATTATTTCCTATCTAAGCAGCACTGCTGATTAGTTGGTGCTTGGTCAGATAAGTCACACTCCTCCATTCCCCACTCGCTGACGGAATCTACAAGGTCATTCCCTGCTAATGCTCAAATGCAAAGGGAAAACATGGGATAAGCATGGAAGTCCCTTGTGCATTTTCAGGGCAACAAAACAGGAGCGTGCAAAGTCTCACATTAAGTAAGAGGACTTGGATTTAAAGTGAACTTGGCTCGAAGCATTTTGCTTTCAGGCAGCCTGTTCACAGCACTGTGTGCAGCCCAAAGTGTGTTTGGGAGGGTAGTGGGACTGCAGTGAAACTTAAGTCTTGACAGTTTGCGGACACTAAAGATCTGAAGCCAGCTCTTACTCGACTGTTAACTCCTGAATCTTCACATGGTGCAATGTTAATCTTCAGCCCTTTCCCAAAATAATGTGTGGAGTTGCTATGTTCTCTTAAATGTGAACCATGTGTCACCTCAGCAATGGCTGCTGCGGGGAAAAGATGATAAATCTAAAGCTTTTAAAATGTCCTGTGACATTTTGGGAGAAAAACAGGTGTTGCATAAATGTTGGACATTTATGGGCAAACTTGCAGGGGCTTTAAAAGACTGACACATCTGCCACATAGTATGTAACCCTGAAAGAAAAGGAGCAAAGCAGTCTCTTTCATGTGTCTCACTCTCTCTACAACCGTATGAAAATACATCCTCATCTGGTATTGGAATTAGCAGAGCTGGACTCGCCCCTCCCATGTCTCCTCCAGGTTTTTGGCTTTTACACCCAATGTGTATTTTAAAACTGTGCCTTTTTAAGTAGGTGGCAAACTGTGCTGGAAGGATTTGGTATGCGGAGTATTTTTATTCAGCTCCTTTTTCTCTCACCTTTCATTGTTTTTCCCTTTGGAATATCTCCTGTAATGCTCCACTCATAAACCTCTTCAAAGGCAGGGCTGTATTTGAACAGCCTGGCCTGAAATCTGGTCTCAGTCAAAGGCCTCAGATGGGAAAATAACTGGGAGAGCCAAGCCCCTCGGCCCCACGGCTGCTGCCGCAGGTGTCGGCAGCCGCTTTGCAGGAGCGAGGTTCTCCTGCTGCCTCCTTGACTCTGACCCCGCAGCCCCCCTGGCTGGGTTATTATTCCCCCTTTTACCCTATAAATGTAATAAACTGGGACTTAGCATCTCGCTTTTAGTGTGGAAGATCCAAGAAGAAGGTGGTTTTCCTCACTTCTCCCAGGCGTCTCATTCAGCTCCTGGGATGTTGTTGGTGTTTTGGGAGAGAGGAGGAGACTTTGGATGCTGAATGCATGCCAGGGATGTGGTGGGCTCCATGGCTCAGCCCTCCACCTATGTGATCTCAAGGATAGGGGATTCTAAACAGCCAGCTAGGGCAAGTCTAATTCCCCAGTCACAATGATCCATCTTGCAGGGAAGTCTGTGAAAGCAGATTTATCTCCAAAAAGCTACAAAACCTTCCCCTTCATGGAGAAAATCCATCAGATGTGTGACCAGCTGCCCGTCTCTGACCATTTGCCCTTTGCATGAAGCAGTTTTAGCACAGAAAACGGCAACCCACTGGGCTACAAAGTGCTTCCCCTCCTTGGGAGGTCACTTGGTTTCTGGGTGGCAGGGAAGCAGCAGATATTTTGAGCATGAGTTGCCTGGCTGGTAAGTGTTCACAACTCTGTGCAGAACCCACTTGGTCTCAACTCTCTGCCCAGCAATAAATTCTGCTCCCAAACCTTAATCCTGTCCCTCCCCACCCCCCCCACCCCCCTCAATTCAGCTCTCACATCTCCCTTGTTTCAGCTGTGCCCTCAGCTCCTGTCTTGATGGGGCTGGTTTGGGTTGGTCCCCTCCCAGGCACCTCGCTTTCGTTCTTCTGACACTGTTTGGGATTTTTCATCGCCTGCTCTCCAGCCTGCAGGCAGTGAGATAAAGTTTCCCAGGCAGGCTGTTTTGGGAGGAGAAGACCTACACCATGCTGAGCTACCGGGCACTTCCAGCTCTGCCCTCCCGGCTGGTGGGAGGTCAGCGAGCAAGCTGTGCTGCTGCTGGGCTGCTCCTCCCAAGGAGCTGTAAAATCAGCCAGAGATAGGAATCTCTTCTTGGAGACAACAGATGAGCCACTGTCTGTCATCCTGCTCATCTCTTCAGAGGTCGTTTCACCAGGGAGCCCCTTTTGGGGTCTCCATGCCCTACTCCACCCGCGGGGAGCTGAGGAGCTGCCCTGCCTAGGCTTCCCTGCTTGTGGCTTCCAGGACTTTTTTTCAAAAGGAATACCACAACAGAGGGGAATGTTTGTCCAAAAAGAGCACAGCTAGGGAAACGACATCTTCCCCTGCCTTTTCCCCAGAGGAGAAATTAACTCCTTCCACTTGCCCATCTCCCTTCCCCAGTGTTCCCATATGGACCAGAGACAGCCCACAATGCTGAACGAAGGAAAAGAACTCTCCAGCCAAATCTGGAGAGAGGACCTCTTTCCTCAGCTGGGTAACATGGATGGTATCATTTGTTCAGCCCAAGCTCCCTCAGGTTTTGTTATTTATTAATATGCATCAGATACTTAATGCACCTGGATTTTTCATTCTGTTCTATACACAAATCTGGAAGATAAGGTAAAATATTCACCTGGCAGAGGCTAAAATTTGCTTTATTTTTGGGGAGGAATATAGTTCCAAATCCCTGATGGTTAGAAACCTATAAAATGTTGTACTGCTCCAAGCCACAAGCTCTATCACCCCAGTCACTATCTCTAACAGTGCTCAGAAATTTGTGTTAAAGAAGCAGAAAAAGGGGAGATGTGTGTGGAGGGACTCTTCCCCAAGCCCAAACAGCCGAGGGTTCAAATATTCCTCAGCCAGAAACTGCATTCAGATCACAGTGTCTAATAGCCACTGAAGGAGCAAAGCTCCACAAATAGGCCTGTTCTTTTTTTGACTTCAAATATATTTTTGTTCTTAATAATGCTCTGTGGCAACGCATCCTATTACTCAAACACACACTGTGCCAATAAGGATGTTCTTTCGTCTGTTTGGATCCTGCTTCAAGGAAATTACCACTTCACCCCCTCATTGCTGAGTGATCGAAACCAGTGTATTTTACTTTCCTAGGCATCATCCCTACTTTAAGTAATGATTTTATAGATCTGTAGCACTAGCTTGTCTCTTTTTGCAAGGCTCTGGTCTATGTGGTCTCTGTGCAAAAAAATATTTGACATCTCCACCCAGCCATGCTGCCCTGCCCCACATTATTCTCTGTCCCACTCTGGGATGGGACAGTTAGCAGAAAGCCAGGCACATGTGGGTACATATGGATCAAAGAACAGATCCACAAAGATGCTTTCTTTTTACTCTCTCCTATTTTCCCAATGACTTCTAACTTTCAGTTTCCTTTTGGAGCCTTGAGGATGGATGATAAATGAACCAGCAAGAACTCAGTACTTATGGTGAGCTGATGCCTGGGCTGAAGATCCTTCTGAGACCTTGGACCTTCCTTTTTTGAGCAAAAATAATTTTTCCAGGCATAAAGCAGCACTCAACAAGGAATTTCCATGGGAAAAGGAAAGGGCATCCCTACCTTTTTGGTCTTGACTGTTGAGGCGCAGCAGTCCCCACCATCATAGTTGCAGAAGGCTCTGTTGTTGATGGAGTCACAGTAGTTGTCCCCCATGAAAGGCTGAAAAAGGAAAAAGCAGGAAAAGGCTGAGACTGTGGACATGGATAAAATGAGCTCCTTCCTTACGGGGACAGGGTGAGAGAGTCATGGCTGGAGAGGAGAAGGTTGTGTGGAGACCTCACAGCATCTTCCAGTGTCTGCAGGGGCAACAGGGGGACTGTTCATCAGGAGCTGTGGTGACAGGACAAGGAGAAATGGCTTCACAGTGAAAGAATGGAAATTTAGGTTAGATGTCCACAAGAAATCCTTCCATGAGGGCAGTGAGACCCTGGCACAGAGCAGCTGTGGCTGCCCCTGGATCCCTGGCAGTGCCCAAGACCAGGTTGGACGGGGCTTGGAGCAACCTGGGACAGTGGAAGGTGTGCCTGCCCATGGCAGGGGTTTAGAAGTAGATGACCTTAAGGCCCCTTCCAACCCAAACCATTTTATGATTCTATAATTCTGAAACCTGTAACAATATTTCAGAAGAAAACCACAAAAATTTGAAGGAGCCATACAGTTTGTAACATACCAGCTGCCCTGAAAAGCAAGAGATAATTATTCCCCTTTCCCTTCAAAACAGACAGGAAAAAAAGGACAGTAGATGGAAGGGAAATGAGCCCTTGTTGCCTCTTCACATCCCACATAAGAGGATGCTTCAGGAATATTAATTTGACTAGGCCCACAGACAGCATCCAGGCATCTAAAATTGTGGCACCTTTGATAATTTTAAGCTAACCTTCCTAAACTGTGTGGGATAAGAAGAAGGTTATGCATTGCAGCAAAATGGGCTTGCTTTTAATAGCTGAGCTTTTCACCAGAGTTCTCCTGACTCTGCAACACGTGTCAGCAACGAGGGCACAAAACAAATCACCAGGAGGAATGGAAGAGGTCTGAGCTCAGCACAGGGACCATGTTCTCCTGTTCTCTGAACAGCAGTGACTGTGTGGGACCCTGGCCATGGCACGTGATCTTCCCCCACTCCACAGCTCAGAGATGGGATAATGGCAATTATTCAGAGGGACGTTGTCGAGAGCTGTTAAGTGAAATTCATAAATCACCTTGAAAAAGAAAATGTGGTCATTAGGCTGGGCAATGTGATCACTAGTCCATGTGCTGCACAGGGCCTGAATAATAACCACCATTCTAAAGGAAAGGCCTGAAGTCTTTCATTGCACATTGGAGCCCTTTTGTTCTGCAAGTACAGAAGTCTTCCTTGGAAGTCTAAGCTGTACCTAACAGTAAAAAAGGTCCATACCAGGTGTGAGAATCCCAGGCAGCAATGAAATCTCAGAAAAATGGATGATCAGCAGAGAGCACAGTCATATCTCTGTAGCTCTCCACTCAGAGGCTCATAAGGCCATTCCCATTTTATCTGCTCATTGAAAAATGCCCTTATTTTGCACTGAGAAAAACACACCAGGGACTCTCCTGCAAGAAGACATCATTGCAGAGCAGGCAGGATGTCTTGGGGAGGTTTCCTGGGAGGATTTTGCATCAGTTGCAGACCCAGAGTGATGGATACCTGAAGAAGCAGCCATGACAGCTTGCCGTGCTCTCTCCAGAGCTCACCATGGCCACCCTCATCAGAATTGAAATGAACTCAGTGGAGCGGGGCAAATGCACACTTTTACTGCTGATGTGCTGCAAATTTAAATATTTCTATCAGGTAGAGGAAATCCAGGCAATGATGGCAATATCAGACCACAGCAGGTCTACCTACCAGGAGGGGACAGACTCGCTTAGCGTCACTTGTTTAATTACGTGCAGATACTGCAAATGTTGACAAGGAAATCAGAGTTACAGTGTGAGGCTCCTGTCCTTCTAAACTGTCTTAACTCCACCAATTTCCACAGATATTGATTTATTTATACAGGCAAAGGCTTTGACTTGAAAGCCCCCTTCCAATTTAATTAATATTCCAAGAGTTAAAAGGGAATGATTTATAAATACATGAAGAGATATTTTGAGGCCAAGCTGGTCATATTTAAAACTGTGAACTTTGCTCAACCTCACAGGAAATTCTGCAGGCTTCTCCATGTTTCTCTTGTGTTGCCTGGCTGTGCCTGCTTGATGGGAAATCTTGACTTTAAATTTCCACCCCTATGCCTGTACCCTACACCTATGAATGCTGGAAAATCCATAAAGAAACTCGTGGAAGAATTTGCTCTGGCACAGAGTAGACAAGCCAGTCCTTTGGAGGAGAAGAAGAATGGGACAAAAAGCATCTATTCTGATTTGGGACCAAAATCCTTGCTTGGAGACCCTGGAAGCCTAGCTGTGGAGGATGAGGTCTCTGTTGCTCTTCATGCACGTCGTAGTGCTCTGATATTTTTGGAGGACGATACATGTAGTCCAGAGGGACTCGTTTGCTACTGAAACGCCCAAGTTAGGTGCAGACAAGTACGCGGCTGACTCATAAGCCTCTGTTCCTGCCACTAGGGAGCGACAAAAAATCACATTGCAGCAGCTGCAGGGGTTCCCACTGTGATCACCAAGAGCCAAATAATGCCCCACTTACAGCCTCCTGTTCGGGGAAGCCTCCCTAATGCTAAGGATGTTCATACATTAGGCGTTGTATCAGCTTAATGGCCCAGCATTATTGACCTACTGGCTTATTAGTATCTGTTTCCACAGTCATGGGGAAAAAAAAAAAAAAAAAAGGCCATGGTGAAGATAGCATTTCTTCTGAAATCTTAATGCCAGCCTCTGGCCCATCCATGGATCCTGGAAGCATCATGCTCTGAAAATGATGCTAGAGGCCATTATCAATTGTCTGGGCAAAGCCTTCCCAGATGATGGATTAGGATGCAGTGACACTGCTGAATGAATGTTGAAAAAGAAGAAAGTTCCTGTTGATGCAGAGGGCTCTGGCAATTAGCAGTGATGGAAAGGAAGAAAATGCTGAGAAGCAGCATGTCAGTAATAATGGCTTCTGGTAAATTATTACATCATTGCAAAGTTTGTCTCAGTAACAACTATCCTTAAACAGCAGGAGGATGGATACCCAGTGGTGCATCAGCACCTGAATGGCATTTTTTAATGGTGGCTGGATGTGATTTCAGCTCTCTTTGGAGAATGGGGGCACCCAGCCAGCCTGCATGAATGCGATGCGTGAGACAGCTTATGACATTCAGAGCACTGACAGCAGAATGCTTTTCATTTAGGGAACAGCTAGACAGAAACTATTACATTGTTGGAGAGTTATTACCCTCTTGGGCCCAACATTTGTATGCGAAGGAAACCTGTCTTTCACTTCAAGACAAATCACATCCCACAGCAGTGTGGTCTGGAGCTTTGTGTCATATTCAGGAATTCAGTCCCATGTTCTGACACTTTGGGCAAATAACTTCAGAGTGCTTGGGTCACTGGGTGCTGAGAGCCTGGTCAGCGTGGCAGACAGTCAGGACACGTGGAGGGAAGACACAGCTCTGCCACTGCCCATTGCCATCTGTGCCTCTGCCTGTGAGCCAGCTCATTTCCAAAATGGGCATGGAGCTTCCCAACCTTCCAGAGGTGCCACAAGGATTGACTTCTTGCTGTGGGTGAGATACTCAGGGGCTGGCATGATGTAAACCACATGAGTGCCATGTCACAGACTGAGGTGCTCCAGCCCTGTTTAACCACCAGAAGCATCTTCAGTCTCCTCAGACATTTCAAAAATTGCTGCTGGCAGAAACAACATCCTTCAAAATAATTAATTTTTTCTCAAGTAACTTGCAAGACTCTAAAAGTCTATCACAGCTGAAATGTAACTGCATGTTTCTGATTATTCTTTTCTGGTTTAGACAGAGGTGGCCAGTGGAGGGAGGTGTGATTTGCTCCATGTCCAGCTGTGCTGTCCACCCAGTGGTATCATCTCTGGCTTTCCTAAACTTTCTCTGCCCATACCAATGCCCAAAGCTTAGCTGGCCTTAGAAAGAATTGTCCCTCAAATAAGTCAAGATCAAGGAAAAACAAGAGAAAGCTTTTGCAACTTCCCAGAAACTCCCAGATTCTGGGAAATTTTTTTGGTCAACCAATGTTTTTGAGCTGTTTGATCATTTAACTCCTGTGAGAGTCACCAACCATCATCTCTGGGAAAACCACCAATTTCCCCACTGAGTGTCAGAACCAGTGCAGGCAATCAGTCTGTGTGATAGGGTAGTCAGGGCAAAATCCTGCTTGCCCCACTTGGAAACCAGAATTTACAGCCCACGTGCCTGCAGTGATTGTTTCTGTAAGATTTAGGAGAGTCACCATGGACCACCTGAGCTAAAGCCAAACTCACCTCACAGCCTTTAACACAATGAATCAGGGAAGGGTGAGGGTACCACTTGAGTCCTGCTGTGCAGACAACACTCTGGAGGGAAGAAAAAAAAAAAAAAGCAACAGGTTAAGACAAAGAAATCAGTGTACAGAAAGTCAGTGTGCTGGCTCCTATGGCTCTCCAGTACTTAACCAATGAAGTTCAGTTCCTAACACCTCTTGTGTTCTCAGGACCTGGCTGTCCTCCAGGTATTTACAAGAAGTGTTGGACTTGACACTTGCAATAACAGAGCATTTGAGATTAAAATAATATTTGAGGTTCTCCTAAAATGTCATGCCCAATATTTCACTCATGGTGGGGGAACGTGGCAGGGAAAGGCAAAGGCACAGGTCCACTTTTGCTCTTGGGTAGGGGGAAGGCATTCTAGGAATTAATTTAGGGATTTCTTTGGTGCTGCCAAGAATTGCTTTATTTCATTGCCCATCATACCTTTGATTCTTGCAGATGGAAGCAGCTAAAGGTGGATTTTCAGATACTTTTTAGCACCATCTTAAATAAAAGCACCTCCCACCATACACCTTCAGAATAACCCCCAGACAGGACAGCATCCTTGGCTACATTTTATGAGCTGTATAATAATTTATTTTCCAACTTTGTCTACAGAAAAAATTGTACACTTGGTTTTGGGCAAAAATGATGACCAGCCTCCTAGACAATGACAGAGACAGGGACACCTAGATTTAAAGAGTGGATGAAAACTTTGGCTGGTCAGTGGAGGTGGTGGTTCCACACCATGGGAGTCCTTGAGATAGGACTCCCATCCATCCAGCAGGACATCAGGCACAATGTTCCTTTGGGGCTGTTGCCCATGGATGAAACACTACAGTGTCCAGTGGAGCAAGATGAACACACAGGCACTCACCTAAAGTGTGGGGTTGGGGCTGGATGGAGGCCTGGGGAAGGAAGGGATTAACATTTGGGAAGACCCAACGCACAAGCCATCCCTTCCCCTGTTCAGCTGAGGTCTAATTTATTCCATCTGCAGGGGAACCTCAGCTTGTTTTTACAGTTTGTGTCATTTGAGGCTTACCTGGCTTGTGCTAGAAAAAAGGACTTTTATACTATCTGACTCGGGCTGTTTATCTTTCCGATGCTCTTGGATTTTCCACTATTAGTCAAGCCCAGCTTGCCCCACCTGCCTCGCAACAGGGCCTGTCTGTGTGAGCAGAGAGGTGGCTGGGGAAGGGAGGATGTTGTTTATCCCCTGGGAGGGAGGGAGGGAGGCTGCAAGGTGCGGGGGCCCCACGGTGTCACACATTCCCCCGGCGCGCTCTTGACAGACAGCTGGAGATTTCCAGGCTGTTGCCTGCCACAAATGGTGAGGGCTTTTCTCTCCCCCCACCCCCTTCTGTTTATTGCACTTCAGAGGGGAAAGAAAGGAAACTTTTCTAGGTTTGAAAATAAACAAGGCCAATCAGCAGAGTGGGAGCGGGGAGAGTAAAGGAAGCAGTTCAAGAACATTTGAACCCAAGAATTAAAACAAAGTGGAAAAAACTCAGGGGTCTGTCTCCTGTATCCAAGGCCAGCAGACAATAAGTGGAAGAAGTGCACTTCCAAAGAGCACCTCACATTCCCCTGGTAAGAAGCATCAATATTTACAAAACCTCACACTCTGTGTGAGTGTGTGAGCATGCAGAGTGAACAAAAGAAACCAAATAGCCTTGAACCAGGCTCTTCAGAAAGGAGCTTTCCACAAGAGAGCAATCCCTTGCAGAGGATGCACTGACTGTTTTCCTGACCCTTCAAGTATCAAAACACCAGCACCTCCCTTAAAGGAATGGATGGGAGGTGAAGTCTCTGCTGAGACAGTTGTCTCTGAGTGCTCACTCAAGGTCATCCTCAATCCCAAACACAGCCTTGGGCTGAGCATCCTCCAGGGAATGGGAATGAGCCCATGCTCTCCACAGCACAGGAAAGCCAGGAGCCAGGTGAATCACTGGGTCACTTGGACATTCCCATTCCTCTGGAGTGGCACTTGCCAACAGCTTCATACCAGTTACTTTGTCCTCCCCTTGGATCATCCTTTGCTAGCAGAGACCACTAGAGCTGAATTCAATCCTGCTAACATTCCTGGAGCTGGAAGCAGAGGGAAGGACCCTAAGCCATAGTCCTGACTCCTGTTCCAGTTTTCCAAGCCCTCAGTTCCTACCTCCCAGCCTGTTTGTACCCTCAGGCTGCTGCTGTGGTGTGTGCAGTGCACTGGGAGAGAGGATGTGAGTAGAGGGAGACACTGGGCTAGAAAACCAAGAAATTGGGAATGATTTGGATGGCTGGGCATTGTTTCTGCCTCCTGCAGTTCAAACAGGCATACAGGTGTCACAGGGTGCTGCTTGGGGCACCTGAAATAAACAAATGTATAGAAAGCAAGCAAGGATGGGTGAAGGTGGTACATGAGGATGATCTGATGGAGTTGGTGTGCACAGACAGGTAGACTCAATGCCAGCAAAGGATGGCATGGTGTATGGAAGCACCACATCCACCACATGCCAGGTGGTTCCTGGGAAATAAAACCCATCTGGCCACTGCCCCTGGGAGCCCTGTCCCTTCCCCATGCTGCCCTGTGCTCCAGGCCCCCATGGTGACATCTGCTGCCCTGCTGGCCCCAGCTCCCCTCGTGCACCAGCTCCTGCAGCACAGCTGTGCAGCCAGGTGGGTTCACTCGGGTCCTGTCCCCACCCAGGAACGCCACCCTGCCACATCTGTGGTGGGTGGCTGGGATTCCATCTGCTGTGAAGGGAGAGGGAGCCGGGCTGTGCTCCCACAATAGGTGACAAAGAGCCAAGGAAGCAAATCAAGCTGTCATTTCTCCTTGTGAAGGAAGACCCAGTGCCTCCGGTGCCGGCGCTTCCCTCCCGTGGTGGGACTAACACAATGATGTCAACTCTTTGCAGGCTGCAGAGGGGATCAGGTTTCCCCCAGAGAGGCCAGTGGAGAGCTTTCCTCCACCTTAGATGGGTCAAGTGTCCCCCCTGGGCTGGAGCCCAGGGACTGGCATCTCCTGCTCTCAGCTAACTCGCTCCTCAGGCACTAAAGGAACAGGACAATTAACCATGGGCTTTAGGAGTGAGGGGATCAGCCACTGCTGCCAGGAAGGGGGACTTGGGGGCTGCCTCCTCCTGTAGCTACAGATGGAATGGGATCTCCTGCCTTCCCAGGAGTGGAGCTGCTGCACCACAGTAGGTCACATCACTGTTCCATGACTCAGTTTCCCTGCTGCAAAATGAGCCCAAAACTCTCCAAAACCAAAAAAACAAAACAAAACAAAACAAAATCAAAACAAAAACAAACAAACAACCCCACAAACAAACAAAACCCCAAAACAAACAAACAAATAGACAAAAACTGAGAGAGGAAGGAAGGAGGAAAAGGAGAAAAGTGCAAAGCTTTAGTGATTATGGGAGTATTTAAGGAGCATTCCCACTAACGAGTTCTGGACATTTTTAATCCCAGGGCCTGCAGTCTGCATGGGAAGAGGGGCCATGGTCACGCTCAGCCCAGCAGAGCTGGGACATGCAGACCCTTTGAAGGCTCTCCCAGGCATGCACATGCCTGCACACTATTTAGCCTGTCCCTACTCAGCACTAAGGCAAGAACCCAAGTTCAGACAACCTAAGAAATGAGGTGTCTGCTCTGTTTCTCTGCAGTCAATGGGAAAGAGCTGTCAAGCTGTCTCTTGGAGATATTTCCCTTTTTTCTCCCCACTGCCTGCACAGTCAGTCTTGGCAGCTCTATCCATCGGTGTCTTCAGCAGCTCTGTGTGCCACACACAGTGAAGGGAAAATTGTGGGGACAGCACTGGCTGCTCTGAACACATCCCACAGCAGAAGAGAGGCACAGAACGTTTCAGGTGATTTTTTTTTTTTTTCTCGCTGAAAATACTGGTTTGGAAGACACTGCCAGGTTATACTGATTTCAGCAAACTGTTTCAGACCCAATAAAGCAATTCAACCTAAACCAATTCTGAAAAATACAGAAATATTTAGACATTTTGTGAAATGAAATATCTGTTGTTGTTTATTGTTTGAGAGGACATTTAATTTCTAAGACTTTGCTGTGTTTTTGTTTTTTTTCTTTCATTTTTCACTAAACAAAAAGTTTACAAAATCTCCTTGGAAATGAAATGCTACGTTATGTTCAAACCAACATGTTTTTTCTTCCAATTTTTTGGTTCACCAAAAATCACAATAACAAAATAGTCCCTTTGATTAGGAATTTTTTTTTTCAATTTAAGAGAACTTTGAGTGAACCGAAAAATCAAGTGATTTGCACAGCTCTGCTCTAAACAACCCTCAGAGAAGGGATAGCTCCTTCTTTCCATTTTGCTTCCATAACAGATGTTGCTTGAGCTGCTACAGACAAATTATTTATTTTTCCTTGTCAGCTCTCCCTGTGTTTTCTCTGTCCCCATCCTCTCAAAGGTAAGCACCACAGATCAGTCCTGCCTTTATCTTCTTCCCATCCTGCCCTCATTTGTACTTGTGCCTGAAATTAAAGCAACAAGAAGTGTATCCTTTGCGTCATCCAAGGGCTCTGAGATGCACAAAGACTCGCCGTGTAAATGCAACCAGCTGCTCCCTGTGCTCATATGGCACAACAGCAAAGCTGTCACTGGCCATAAACAGAGACATGGGTTATTAATGATATATAACACATTGCCATGGGGACCTTCCCCCAAGGCATCCCAGTCCCATCTCTCCAGGATGTCCCCACTCCCACGAGGCAGCGTTTTTCCTGGTGGCTCCCCAAGAGGTGCCTCTCCCTGTGGGTGACATCCCATTATCTGCAGGGTTGGATAAGATGGATGTTTTACAGCTACCAATTTTTTTTAATTAAGGATTTTTTTAATCCCTTCTGGCATGTCTTCCCTCCCAACACAAGTTCTCCAATCAAAATCTCACCCTCTAGTTTACAAAGCATTTGTAGGGTAGAACTTGTATCTGCTCAGGGCCTAAACTCTTGCAAGATCTTCACCATCAGGGGGAAAAAAAGGGCTTATTTACCGCTGTGCTCTTGGAAACCATGATTTCTCCTCCATCCCTCACTCCCCTTGTCTCCCCCTTTACTACTCTATGTTTTCCCTGCTGCCTAATGAGCCCTCCAGAGACCTGCAGGTATAAAACTCGTTACAGCTCCCTCCACGTACCCGCATCAATAAGTGAAGGAGTGCAGAGAGAACAGGAGGGAAGCTGTCACTTTATTTCCCCATGAATTACAAACCACTTTAAAGTCTGGCACTCAGGAAAGGGCCAGTGAGAAATTGCCCCTCATACAGAGATAGGGGCTTTCTTTATGTTTCATGCCAGAAACTTGGCAAAGCCTTGGCTTAAGGCAGTCACAGAACCTCAGCATCTGGAGAAAATGGGAAGCTGGGAAGGACATTATGAGCTTGTCATATTCTCTGGACTTGGGTTTCCCACTCTTTTCCCAGATTTATTCTCTTGCTCTGCATGAAACAGTGAAGTTCAAAGTGGTGGAGAATTCTGGAGCCACTTGCTACCCACAGCCAAGGCCAGATTTCAAAAATCCCAAACCCTAGGTGTACATTTAGGCATGTAGAGAAGCAAATAGACTGTCAAAGCTGCTCAAGACATGCTGGGGCTGTGTTGGCTGCTTGTTCTCCTTCTTAATGGAGTTCAGGTGTGTAAAACAGACTCCTGCAAAGCCAGGACCAAGTATGTAAAAGCCAGACGTGTTTGCTCAAGCACCATCAGTAACTTGCACCCTGGTGACACCTGATGTGCCATCGTCTTCCACCATGTGCTCAAGTGTGTCCAGTTAGACTTCCACACCTGCAGAAATGTCATAAAGCCACAAACACCTGGTTTGTTTGTAGGAACATGAGGGTTTCCAGGAAGAGTTAGGTGAGTGTGCCTCTCACTGACACCCAAGTGTGGGCATGACACCCAGCAGCTGTTTGCTGCCAGTGGGGCTGAGTGTGTGTGCAAGGCACTGCACATGGTGTGCACATCCCCACCAGGGCACGCTGCCACTGGTGCGTGCTGGAGGACGCTCAGGACGGGGAGCTGTGAGCAACTAATGCTGGCTCTGCGTTTGCAGCAGGCAGGAGGGAGAAGTGGTGACCTCTGGAAGGGGCTGTGCTGAGCAGGCAGCTCTCGCATGCGGGCGGAGGGGCGGGGGGAGCACTCAGCCAGCTCCGCGGGGTCGGGAAATGAAAAACCCCCTGTATCAGCTTCTTTTGTCATCCAGAAGTGGCACAGAAAAATCCAGCCCTGCCACCCAAAGAATGCAAAATACAGAACAGGAGGAAGAAAATAAAGCCTGGCCAGTGCCCTTTCTCTAGCTGTCCATCACATCTTCCTGTGGCATGGATTCCATTTCCAGATCAAACCCCACTGATGTGAGGCCTCTACCTTGAACTGACTTTCACTTGGTAAACACAGAGAGAAAGCCACTTGGAGAGAAAGCCACTATATTACTGGAACAGACACAAGAAAAATCAGGAATTCTTTCCTAAAGGTGCAAATTCCCCATTTTGCACAGGTAACACTGATCACTCTCTGCTCATAAACATGCAACAAAGGATGTGGTTCATGCAGTCGCCAGGCACTGACCTTCACTCTCTGAGGGTTCATCCAGTGCTGGATGTCTTGCACGGTCTCGTTCACGCGCAGGAGGATGGGCTCGTGACTGTGATCCAGACAGGAGGTGGTACACTCCGTGCCTGCTCAAAACACAAAGGGGATAAAGCTAAAGGATAAAGCAGGCAGCTTCTGACCCTTCCAGCATCCTTCCAGCTGAAGGACAGTATTACGGCTCATTTTTCCTAAATTGCAATTAGCAGTCAACCATAACTATCACATATCTCCTAGCCACACGTGAAGTGCTGAGTACAACCCTGTACTGAGCAGGAGAGCGTGGGGGTGGCAGATATTCCAGGGCCTTTTTGAACAAGCTGCAAATCTAAGTGTTTCTCTGGCTATTAACTCCAGGAAGGGGGTCAGGTTTTGCGCTTTCAGATCATCAAGACAATGTGAAGGTTTTTCCATTTCAACTGCTCTTTCAAGCAGTGGGGAGAGGCTGTTGAACTCATCTCACCTGTGACATGGCAGAAACCTATTGTTTGATCTGTCAGATTTACAAACATCCAATAATAATCTTCCAAAGGGTGACCAAACCTAATGATATCGGAGACCAGCTATCACCCAAGTCCCACAGTCAATAAGAAGTACGCAGAAAGGTAATGATGGCTTTGTTCACACATAAACCTGCTTTTTCTCTGATTAACTGTCATGCCCAGTGGGAATCCTGTCCTTTCTTTATTAAAACATGCTGTGATACTCTGCAGCAATATCCCAGAGCCCTGTGGTGACACAACCATAAGCTCTTGTGTGTTGGACCATTACCATTTCCCCCCTGGAAAATCACTCTTGAATGGCACAGCTGCTGCAAACATGTCATTAGGATTTCTGCACTCCAATCAGCGCTGGGGGAGGAATTAATCTCTGCACTGGTTTGGAGAGCTGAACCTCTGGCTCAACACACGCCTCAGCCTGGAAGGGCAGATTAGGTGTCTGAGGAATTACTGAAGGTGTGTGGGATTCATAGTGACCATGACTGGCTGCTATTATTTTTCCCACCTGCTTCTGCCTTCTCACATTCTCCACTTGGAGGAGTCAGTGGGAGCAGCCAGACCTAGGCTGGAAAGATGGGGAGTGCTTGAGGTTTGTTTTGCTTTCCCAGGACACCTGGAAGTGGCTCTAAGGACCTACTAGATGAGGCCTATTGACACTACCCCCAGAGTGAATGACTGGCTCCTCTTCATGAGCGTGGTGGACACTTTTTCAAAAGGACATTGATCAGGCTTTCAAAAATGCAAAGAAGAGAGGAAAACCCCAACATCTGATCCCAAAAGTTGGGGATGGGTGAGACTACAAAGTGTGTGGTATGTCTCCATCTGCTGAGAATGAGAGCCAGTGGCCACTGTGCCTTCTCTGAGCTCTAAATCCCTCTTCAGAGAGAGCCACACTCTTGTGGGGGGTCTGCCCCATGCATCCCTCACCTCCATGATGCTGTGTGGTCCCATCCTGAGGTCAGGCCCACCACTCCCTGGGATTGGCACCTGCTGACAGTCACTGTGACAGGAGCCAGAGCTGGCAGGCACCCAGCACTCAGATGCTCCCCTCCAAACCAGCAACTGGGGTTTCTCTCCTTGCAAAAACCTGTCTGGCCCTGGAGGTAACCTCGTCTCAAGGGTAAAACGCCTCTCCACATTAAGAGTCGCCGCAGCCTCCCCGCTGCTCGCTCTGCCGTGCTCCACCACGCTCGTGGAGAGGAGCGGGTCGGAATTGTTTTGATATATGATCTGTAATTGGCATCATTACAGAGCGGTGATCTCATCCAGGTCGTGTTCTCCTCCCCGGGGAGGGAACACAAGGAGGCTCGTAGTCCTCTGCATGGCTGCGATATAATGAGGGAGCCGCGCAAGGAGGAAATTTCTCCAAGTTCAAAGGGACAGGCGGAGGCAGGAGGGGGATGGCAGGGGCTGGGAGGGGGGCTGCAGGAAGGGGCCTCGCAAACCTGTGTGGGCTGTAGGCAGTGCAGCTCCTGTTGCAGCCCTTACAGCAGGGAGACCCCTGAAATGGGGGCTGAAAGTACAATATAGAGTGTACAGCACAGAGTGTCTGTCCCTCCCTGTGTCTGGTGACACAAAGCCAAGCTGAGCATAGGGGTCATCACACCATGCACAGGGAACAGGTACCCCAGAAAGAAGGAGGAAAACAGACCCTTGAAAACAGCTCCTAAACAACTGTCATACCAAAGGGAATGCTCAGCTGGCCTCATACTGTTTCTGGGGAGACCTGAATTATCCTAGTGCTGCATTCTCCTGTCAACTCCCTGCCTTTCAGCTTCTGGAGCATGGGTTTGTGCATGTGGCTGAAGGAGTGGGCAATTATGGAAGCATAAGAGCAAAAGCAGGCACAATCCCTCCCTGTATTTTGCAGACTGGATGTGTCTCTGGCACAGCCTGGCATGCTGCTGCCCCTGAAAACCAGCTGGCCAAGAAGGCACACCATGAAACTGGAAGCCCAGCAAGGAGCCTGCAGTCAGAGCAGGTTACATGACGCCTGGCCTCTCAGAGCTTCATGTTTCCTAAGAGTATTTCCCTGAAAAGCCTCCTGTAGCAGGTTCTCACTCGCACAAACAAGTTACTTGAAGGACTCCTTCCTTCCTCCCTGACATTCCCATCCTATTCCTGGTCTCCTGCTGCCTGCTCACCCACCTATGCCGTAGCCGCCGGCGCACTGCAGCTTCAGGTGGCTGTTGAGCTGGGTGGGCAGAGCACACTGTCCCTGCATCTCCCTGCACAGGTGGAAGGACCCGCTCCAGGTGCCATCCTTCCGGCAGTGGATCACATTGCTCCCACGGCCCTGGGAATGAGGGAAGGAGATAATGAGGATTAACAAAAAAATAGCAAGGAGAGACTGAGAGGTGAGAGGTGAGCAGAGCTGAGCTAGGAGCAAAGTTCTGTTGGAGTTGGAAAAGCCCCTAGTTGGGACTGCCAGTCCTAGGAGGGACAAGAAGGAGTTTTCTTCCAAACAATAAAGAAAAGGAAACCCACAGTGCTCACACACACAGAGAGAGAGAGAAAAATACACGCATCTCTTCTGTGCAATTCAAGGTCTTTACAAGCCCCTTGCAAGTCTACACCTTAGAACAGCCCCACTCCTGTTGCAATAAAGGTGCCTTCACCCCTTTGCCTTCCTCCTTGTTGTTGAATGAAGACAGACTTTTTCCTCTTTGCATTTTCTAACCAGTTACATCATCTCCTTGAAAAAGAAAGAATCCCCAATGGCCATCTGAAGGAGGAAGGAAGAGTGGGACATGAGCTTAGCAGGGCAGAACGTGCTCTTTAGAGCTTGGCTGCCTTGAGTGACAGCGGGCGAAGGGGCTGAGGCAGACTCACACAGAGGCAGGTGGGAAGGATGAAAAATCCTCTGGTGTGGGAATGGGCAAGGAATAGAGTATGACATTTCTCTTATAGAAGAGATTCTTCGTATGATACTGAAGAATGAATACCAAAGTCCGAGGGGAAATATCATGCCCTTTAAAGACAACAAAGGAGTGCACAGGCAATCTTTTGTCAGATCTATCCGCACAGCATTGGGGATTTCTGTGCAAACAAGCTGTTCTGTGGGATCTGTGAGCCCAACTGCCATGGGGCAATGTGGGACATTCAACAGGAGTTTGTCTGGTGTGGTTGGGCTCCAAAACTCCTGTGGGGAACTTACTGGGTGGGAGAATCATGCAGAATCTCTGCTTCTCCTCTCCCAGTTTTAATGCCAGACACGTTGCCTGCAATCTACCCACCCTGCTCTTGGACACTGTGCTGGATATCTTTGGGGGTTCTTTAATGTACTGTCCATGCTGGGATCCCTGTGGGACTGCTGAACATTTTGGAGGAGCTCTGCCCCACAACTCACACCCATTGTTGCACAGGGACCTGCACAAGCCCCTGATACTGGCATGGAAAAGGGCTCAGCCTTCAGTGATAGTCTCATCCTTAATATCCTAATGCTTCCTTTTTTTTGTTCAGGTTTGTTAATGAACATAGTGTTTAGTGAGATGCAAAGTGGTATTAGCAGCAGACTATGGTGTGGGACCTGCTTCCCCTTCTCTAGACATCTGGCCATTGCCAGAAGTAATAAGGAAATAATATGAAAGGAATAATGGAGCAGATGGACTCAGGGTGAGATCCTGCTTGGTGATTCTCACCTAAGGGCCAGTTTGGCAGAGATTGATTAATTTAGATCTGACTGTTGATATGATTTGTGTACAATATGCAGAAATGGAAGACCCTTGCTCTGGTGCCAGGGGAGGCACCTGCTTAAATGACCATTACATTCCTGGTGATTAAGAGATGCTGTATGTGCAGCCAAGTAATGGTCTTCCAGCATGGTGACAAAGTCAGGAATAAATTGCTAAATTATAATTGAGCACAATTTGCCATTTTAGCAAGTGTGGTGCACTTCCCTTGCAATTTCCATGCCAGGGTTCAAATGTGACTCTCAAAGATGAGCCATGAAACCTGATTTATGTTCCTGGAGCTGGCTGTGCTTGAGGGTACTCCTGTATAGTTTCAGCAACATACTCCGAGATCCCAGGATATCCATTGCTATAGTAACATACTGTCCATCATTCCCTGACCTGCAAAATCTCTTGTGAAAACCCCTGCTGGGTTTCTTGCTTGGATGCAACGTGTATTATCACCTTATATAGCTGAGAGAGACTTAGTGGGGTTTAATCCTTAAATAATTAACACCTCTCAAGTGGTTCTGGCTTGTGCCAGGAGACCTTGCTCTTCTTCTGTAGCCTATTTTCTGAGATATCTGAAAATACTTTTCACTGTAAATACCTTTCTCAAGATTTTATCTGCTCCTTTGCCCAAGGTGCTTTCGCAGCTGAGCAGTCACTCCTCTCCCTCCCAGTGAATAGACAGAGTTGTATCTCTCCCTTTCCTGAGCTTTCTTCATTACTGCTGTAACCCTGACTCCACTGCTTGCTCCTCTTCATGTTCACCTCATTTAAAAGCAAACACAAGCCCGTTCCACCAGCTGTCATTGCCCTGGAGGTCCCAGTTTCCCCGCCCTGGCAGTGCTGGAACACAGCACAGGACATGCTGCCCCTCTGAGCAAGTGGTGGATGCACAAAGCCACAGCTGCTGTGTCCCAGAGCTCCCACCCCCTCTGCACCCATGCCTGCAACTTCTCATTTCACACTGCTCATAACCGCACTCCAAGTCTTAAACAAGGAAAACTTTCTCAGGTGCCCTGATGTGAAACGCTGGGGCTCTGTTGTCACCGTGCAGAAGGCAGGCCAGAGGACAGGGAACAGGGGCTTTTAATATGTGGAGCAGGTACCAGAGGTGTCTTTCACATAACTGCCCCTAAAGCAGGGTTTGTACCTTTTTAAAGGTCCTCAGATTCTGATCTGGTAATCTGATGATCTGAATTCTGATGATATGAAACAGCCCTTGTCAGAGCACACCCTGCTCCAAGCAGTGCCTGCAGTTGCTGCAGCTTCCACATCCCCACTTTCTCTTCCCAAGCAGGGGGAGTAGCAGCAGCACTTCTGGGAGAAGTTACTTATCTCACAAACTATAATTACCTCTGGTGAGGAAAACTAGGCATTTCAAATAAGATAGTAGAGGCCAGACCTTCTCATATCAATGAACACAGCTCCCAGGAAGCCAAAGGCAACATGCTGATTTGTGCCAGATGGGGATCTGACCTCTGATGCCAAATGACACCTTCACAGCCAGAAAAACTTGGAAGTTTAGAGTGAATTCACCTGAATATTTGTAATCCCTATGGTGCTAAATTATCACACAACACACAGGCATAAAATGGTAAGAACTGGAGAGAAAAGAGAAGTAAAACAGAATGAATACATGGGATATGTGTAGATAACACACATTCTACTTACTTTGATTTGTTGCTCCTGATTTTCCAACCAGAACATAAAGCCACTGTGGCAGATTTTTCTGCCACTTACTGTCCAGAAACAGTAAGTCAGTTGCTTCTAATTCTCTACAGGTAATAGTTAATACTGTTTCTACTGTCATAAAAATAATACTTCCAGGCTCTCCCTCAACTTTAAATATGGTTTTCCCTTCTGCATTTCCCTGGTTTTGGAAGAGCTCAATGTCCCTCAGCCTCTCCAAGATCAGTGTCCTTAGGGAAGATAAGAAAAATCCAGACTTGTGTGGGCCGAGGTGATTTGGGTCAGGGGGACTCACCGACTGGCTGTCATCATCCTCGCACTTGATTCGGCACTCGCTGTTGAACTGGAAGCCGTTGGAGCACTGGTAGAGCCCGTGGAACTTGGAAGGTGGAGGGTCACAGGTGACAGGCACGCAGGCGCCTGGCAGCCACGTGCCGTCTTGTGTGCACTGGATCTTAAAGGCTCGCCTTTTTGTGCAGAAAAAAGCAATATTTAGTGAGTGGCTGAGTCAGCTGGGAGCCTCTAAAGCCTCTGAGCTCGCTAGCAGGTTGCAGGAGATGGGTGTGCTCGAGCTTTTAACGCTTGGGGAACAAGTTGTGAATCTGCGTCATGAGGTCTCTGAGCAAAAATAACAATTATTTGCAAAACCAACATTGAGCTGCCCAGCCTAAACTCCTCTTTTGGCCTTGGACACATCTCCCAAGAACTCAGCTTCCCAGGCTTGTGGGCTGTGGTTGGTTTGAAGTGGGTTTGTGCAGAGTCAGAAGTATACGACAGCACTAACCCTTTTCTGCAGGGTTTCAAAGGGGACTCCCCAGGCTGCATATCAAAGGGGTATTTCTAAGGTAAAGTCTGTTTCTTGAGCACTGGTCAGGATTTTTAAAAAAGTCTAAGTGAGCTGGGTGCCTAAACTGACACTGCACAGCTATCTGCATGAAGGAATTGCTCCATGCTATTCCCTACGGCACACAGAGTCTGTGACAAACAACCCCTTCCCAAAATCACTGTAACTCATGGCTTTCTGAACCAGGCTGATGGCATAGCTTTAGTCTTTCACGTACTTTCTTGATTTTCTGGAGGATCCAGGGACGTGGTAACCTGGTTTGCATTTGTACTTGCAGAATGAGCCCACTTTGTGCTTGTCTTCTCGGCAGCGCGAGGTCTGGAGATCCGCGTTGGGGACGATGGAGGGTGCTCGACACATCAGCTCACACAGGGCCTCAGGAAAGGACCACAGCCCATCCTCCATGCAGGTCAAGTTGCTGTTGTTTCCTGAGAAGATCAGTGAGCAAAGTTAACAACGTACAGCAGGAATATTTTCTTTTGAAATGTTGTTACACCTGTAAGATATCAAAAGCCCCCTCAGTGATTTGACAAATTCAACTGCATTGAACATTCATATGTCCTGTGCGTTCTCTCGCTCTAGATGATGTCATTAAATCATTAAGGACTCTGCTTTCAGGTGACAGGCAGGCAGTGCTTATTTCAGGAAATGCTATAGCATAGGGGAAACCACACGGGCTTTGTCATCTTTTGTATTTCTCTTCCTTATTTTGTTCCTCTCTGAAAGGAAGCTTGTTTCATACACCAACCCCCTCCTCTCCAAAGCCATGGCTTTAACAGAGGGTTTGGTGCCATCACATTCTTCATTCAGCTTCTGTGTTATATCTTTTCCCTGAATCTGTCCCTATTATTTCAATTTGGAACCTTTTGGAGCAGCATCTGTTAGTATTAGAGTCACTACTCCAACACAATGAGGAGCCATTCTCAGCTGGGGACTCTCAGTCCTTGGGGACTACTGTGATAAATATGATTCATAATACTCATTAGAGACTCATTTTCCTCAGGAAGCTTTCTTGGCCAACACCTCAAAGGTAAAAGGTACAATAGATCTATTTGCCTCTGCTATGACCTACTTGACTTCAGAAGGTTAAGCTAAAAGTAGCCCAGTCTCAGTGTATTTTACATTCTTTGTTATTTTATACCATATGTTGAAAAGAAATAAGCTTTTCCTAAGAAACAAAGCACAGCTATGAGCCACTAACCCTTCAAAAATCCCTAATATTCCATTGAAATCCCTGAGCATTGCTGCAGGAACTCTTCTCAACCCACAAGGCATATTTTCAACAGTGAGCCAACTTCGGAGTTATCCGAAATAATACTGACAAACTGCTAACCCCGGAGCAATGCCATCTCTCTCTGAGGGGAGGAAGAGAGCCAGGGCATGAGGCTGGAATTCAAAGAAGAAGAAAACAAAAGGCTCTGGAGGGCTCAAGAAGGTATGTAGAGGAGCCCTCCTGCCTGCCCTCAAAGATAAGAGAAGCCACATTAAATCAGCCTCGGATTTCTCTCTCCCCTCCCCAACTGCAGATGATTGCAGAGGTATTTTGTGCAGAAGGGAGCTCTTTTCTGGAGCACCAGCCTGTTCCTCTGCTCTGACTCATGCAGCAGCTCCCAGCCCAGCCGTGGTGATATCATACTTGCCACTGCAAAGCGATAAGCTGTGACATTACCAACAGTGGCTGTCATGACGTCAGTGATTGAATTAGCCATGAGTCATTCCAACGCTGTTCTCCAGAAGCTTAGTGGCAACATTTATTAGTCATCAGTGATGGCTGTACACCAAACAGAGCCTTTACCTCACAGCTCAGTGTTTCTGGACAAAAGTGAAGTGATGTTACACGCCAGAGCTGCAGCCCCTGATCTGGGGTTGGTTGTCATCTCTCCATCTACCCTTGCCTGAGTCATCAGCTCTTGTTGGTCATGATGACTGTAACTATTTTCACCGCCTGCTCAAAAATATTTAAAGCACTTAAAATGAAAAAAACCCTTTTGTTGAAGATAGTCCTGTGAGTGCATAAACAGAAAAAGGGAGGTTTTTTGCTAAAAAAGTAGTCTTAATTTTCTTTTAACTATCTTTTGAGTAGTCATAACTTTGACTGTGTGTTGTCTGTTTTTGGTTATCTCCCATCAGAACTAAAAAGAATTAAGCAATTTGCTTATATATGAAGAAATCATCATAGCCTTTCCCTGACATAAAAAATACTTCCCATGCCTTCCTTTTTGGGGTTTGCAATGAGTCCCAGCAAAGAAGGAGATACCATCGGTCCAAAAAAAGCTTATATTGTGTTTGTACCTGAGTTGACAACAGCAGTCACGTTTATTTACAAGATGGACAAGATCCTTCAAATTAACAATTTTCTTGTTTCCTGAGGACCAGATCAAAAATGGAAATGTGCCAGTGAGCAGAAGAGTTGATGGTGCTGAGAAGAGGATGGGGATGTTAGCAGAAAAGTAGCAGGGAAGAAGATAGAGGAGGAAAGGACAGAGGGCAGCTGTGTTATTTCTAGGGGAAAAATATAAAAGAAAAAAGGAAAACATGAAGAGTGACAAACAAGAAGAGAACAGGAAGGTCAGAGTAGAGCAAAATGAGTGTGGGAAAGAAGAAGGGTGATGGTGGATTAGAAAATACAGTGATGGGGGTCTGTGCCATTGGGATGTGCGGATTTTCAGTCTCGTCTTGGCTTTCCATATACATGGAGGAGGCATAGAAGGGAGACAGACAGTGGATATAGACAAAGCATGGGAAAGAAGATGAGAGAGCTCAATCTGATTTATCCCCATGACTTTTTCATGTTTTGGTTGTATGGAAGCAATATTCCCTGTCATTGCTGCCTGGCCAGCTGCGATCAAGGAAAGGTCAAAGCAAGGTAATAGAGAGATGCAAGGAACTTAACTTCTAATATAAATAAACCTTCCATTGAGTCCTATAATTCTTCCTACTTAAAATATCATGAATAACTCTAAACCAACAGCAAGAGAAACATGTATTCCTAGGAGCAGTCTGTATTAGCTGTGTCTCTCAGGTCACTGCACAGACACCCCCAATACCTTTCAGAAGAGCAGGAGGTCGGCATGTGAAGGAGCATTTCTTGCCAAAGGTGGTCCCCTCGCTGCAGTTGAAGGTGGCTGGGTAGACATGGTACTGGTCTGGGACACCACAGTCCACGGGCTCACATGTCACCTGCTTGTTCCACTTCCCATCCATGCAAGTCATGGTGACGCTGGACTCCGTCTGGAAAAAGACACACGGCTACAGCCACCACAGCCAGCAAGGGAGAGGTCAAAACCATTTCAAGCCTAATAGCCATAATTTTGGCTCACAAGGTAAGCACAGCCACATCTGGTCCCTACCATCATCATTTAGACAGCAGCTACCAAACCCACCAAGGCTCATAAGGAACAGTGTCAGAGAAAGGATTTTCTGCCACCTCTGGGGCGAGACACCAAAGCACTTCCATAGAAAGAGTGCAGCTCTACAAATAATCCAAACTCTTGTCTGGCCTCCTGAGACAAGGAGGGAACCTGCTGCTCTGCCCTGCCATTGGAAAGGAGCACAAGCCTGAGCTGTTTGGAGCTGACAGCTGTCCCCCATCCCTGTCACATTTGTGGTGACAAAGCCCCTCCAAGGGGATCCCTCTGTGCTTCCGAGTAGTCAGATTCATTTTCGGGTTTGAAGTAAAAGCCAAGCTGACATGAAGCCTTTTGGGATTCTCATCCAAGGCTCTCCTGAGAGGTGTCAGTCACCCGTGGATGGGGATCTCAGGGGAAGTGCAGATACTGACAGCTGCTGCTGTGGCTGCTCTGGCAGAGTGCCCCAAGGCAGAACCAGGGCCCTGCTGTCCTGACACCACGGACACGAATGCCTGAGGGACAGACCTTTTCCAGGAGGAATTTACCATGGCCAGACCCAAGAGTGTCCTGCCCAAAACTAGCACCTGGAACTTGAGAGGTTGTACACAGAGTCAGTGTCTGTGCTCTGACTTCCCCAAAGCCACTCCACCATCACAGCTACACAGAAACTAAACTTCTATGGATCTGAGGAATAACCAAAATTGCACAGCACACTGGAATCCTGGAGTGCTAGGGGCAAAGAAGGAAAATGGGGGGAAGTAAAGAAGCCACCCATCTAAAGTTAAGATGAATTTACTGAGTGACTGAAGGACAAACAGATGTTGGCAGAGAGAACTGAGTAAACAACATATCCACTTTCTAATTAAAAGTGGAAAAATATTAAAAGCTAGTAGTGAAGAATCTAACTCTTCCCTTCACACCAGAATAAAGAGAGGGACAGAGGTTAAGAAATGTGAGAAACCCAAACATGAGAGGGGGAAGATGCTGGCGAGGAATCTGACCAAGCCATACAGCAGCACTCCTCTGCCTCCAGGGAATATTTTATTCAGGGCTGGTGTGCTCACAGGAGATTTGCACCGCCGGCCATTGATCTGGGTTTATAAAAGGAAAGGGAATTTTTCTAGCACACATCAAAGGGACCTGGATTCCCTTTTTGCAAAAACACCCTAATGGTTTCAACAGAAGTTCAGACCTGTCTCCCTTTGATATATGGTTGCATTCAGAATGGAAAAAGCAGTCCCTGAGCTGAGAAACTGGACACTTCCCAAGTGGGCACAAAACCCCTTTGCTAGACCATGGAGTTTATTTAAACAGGGAGCACTGCTGATGGAAAAAAAAGTCTTTTCTACAAACTCAGAGGAGCACATTCTGGGATACTGAGAGCCATCAGGTGAAGGGATACTGTGTTCACATTCCCAATAATTTCACTCTCCAGCAGCTGTTAATTCTCTCTTTGTTGTTTATGAGAATATCTGTACCACTAAAAAGTGTATATAAAGTGTAGGCAGTTGATGTCCTGGCAGTTGATGTCCTGAAGATTCCAGGGTGTTGCAGTGTGATGGCTGCAGGAGAAGGGATAACACAGCATACTCCCTGTCTTGCAAACCATCAGCACTCCAGGATGGGCTGCTCCAGCATCCAGCAAAGCTATCCATCCATTTCCCTTTAACAGATGCTATTATCAAATAACACAGTAGCAACGTAGCTGCTGTAACTTAAAACATAAAGCCAAGCTATTGATGTCAATAAACTCGAGCTAATGATGTCAGGGGCTATCCAAATGTTATGGAAATTACACAGGTCTTGCATAGTTTCATGCTGGATACTGGATCCAAGATGAACAGAGGGAAGCTGCATCAATGACAAGAGATTCAGCTCCAGAAATTAAGTTATTGTTGTTGCTGTGATCTAGTTTAGGAATAAATGCGTGTTCCTACTAGCTGCTACTGGCTGCTGAAACACAGTGTGGTGCATGAGGAAGTTTCTCTAATGACAGGGTTACACATCAGATGTACCTCTGCAGAACGCCAAAGAAACAGAAACCAGAATATAACACAAAAATTTAAACAGAAGCAATATCTGTGCATGACAGTCACACTTTACAAAAGGATTGGTTTGCCCAAGCTACCACTTGTGAGAGTATTTCAGCTGCAACCTGTGGCCTTTGTTAGCAGAAAGCAGCAGGACACCAGAGCCTGCTGGAAGTGCTGCAGGCCTGGGATCCTCTCTCTTTGGGAGGGATTCCTCTCCACAGCCATACTCCCACTGTCCTTTGTCTGTGCCCCTGTTCTAGACCTTGATATCAAAATGTTAATAATTAGTGTCTGCACATTTTCATCTTTGGGTTTTTCTCTGTGGTACTTTCCCCACAAAGCCCCTAACCTATTCTGTAAGAGTTCTCTCTGACCCCTGTGGGTTTTCCTCTTCCTGGGAAGGCCATTCCCCAGCAGAGAAGCTGTGCCCATGGAAGACCCTGGCTACTCAGCTTTTCCCAGTAATTTGTTCCATGTTTGGTATGATGGAAGCTGAGTTTTTCAAGGTCAGACATAATAATGGTGCATTTTAGAGCATGTCTATCATGTCATCACTTGAAGCACATGTAATTCTGCAGCAGGACACAGCACAGAGAATTCCCTGCAATGGAGACAAAGTTCAGTGGCTCTGATTGGAAGCACAGAGGAAAAACCTACCACAGAAATCATTGCTGATGGCACCCACCAGCTTTTGACTTTCCCCTCTTTCAGTGTCACAACTGAGGGTGGGATCTGCAGTGTCCAGGGGCAGCACCCCTGGCTGCTGAGCAGGATCCTGTCCTTCCCCAGCTCCATGCCACACCCTGGAGGTATTTCTGATAGACTCAGCCCTTGGATCTGGTGCTGGGTCTTAGTGGCAGCCTCTGCCTCTGCCTTTGCAGCTCTCCCACCCGGAGCCGAGCAGGCACGTGCCTGTTTCGCCTGTCTGATCTGACAAGGTCACCCAGCTCACAGCAGCCCACACGAAGCACTTGGCTTTCTCATCTGGTTTATTAGCTGTCACTTTGGGCACTTTGTGCTGCTTTGACTGGCATCACAGCAACTGCTTCCCTTCATGTCCTGCCTTCCAAAAGAGGCTTAAGCAAGGAGGGAGGGTGGGCAAGGAGGAAAGAGGGGGAGAGAAAAGGGGCCTCCAAAGATGCAGTGAAGAGGATGCAAACTTAAACAAATCTGGTGCCAGAAAGATTTGTTTCTTGGGACTTTTAACAGCCTGGGAGAATTCATGTCTCCTTCCTGCTGCCCAAGATCCCAGCCAGCCCCTTCTTCAAGCGATGCTTCACGTGTGAAGTTTCCTCTCCTTAAAAATGAACAGCTGTGCCCTCCCCTCTAAGTATTCTTCCACTTCTGCCCACTACTGTGCCTCTAATTGAACCCACATGAGCCATGCTTTCTTTTCCTGGCATGATTGATGATGCCTTTGCACAACATTAGGGAGCTGCTGGGTTTTAAATAACACCTCTTGACCAGAGCAGCAGTGGTGGTAGCTCCAAGGAGAGATGACAACAAGTCACTGAATGAGCGGGGCTTTCAGTGAAGGACAAGGGGGAGGAAAGCAGTGAAAGACAAAGGGGGGAAAGAGGAAGAAGACAAGAAAGAGCAATGGAGTTGTCCGG